CAGAGCTTGGTTAAAGTTCCGTGGTCCAACTCCCAAAGGGAATGTGATGACTGAGATGGCTCCTGTGCCCAGGAATGAACAAGTGTCAGAGACAGGGAGGGAAAGTGACGTAGGACAGTCAGATCCCTACTACTGGAATCTTCTAGAAACTGCCAGTGAGTGCTTGGCTGTACCTCATCCCACGTCATCCTCACACCAGCCCTATGGACTAATATTAGCACCTTTTGTTTACACATGTTGAAAACAAGGCTAAGAAGTGTTGTTGCTGCACAAGGTAAGGCCATGGGTCGCAGAAGTCACGAACCAGGTCTGTCTGCAAAACGTCTGTATTTTCCATCACGCAGGGAAGAGGGTAGCGTCAGCAGCTCCTTGGTTAGTATGATCTGGTAACAGGCTTGTAGTTTTTAAATTTTAACTTTTACCTTATTGGTAATCTTCAAGATTTTTTAAAAGCATTCCTGTGTGTCAGTTTTATGATGGGGAATCAAGGAAAGAGATGTTAGCCAAGCATGAGTTTCGACCTCACCCTGGGGTCAGGATAACTGGGGTAAGAGAGACGTAGGAAGATCGAAAACTGGACTCACAGCTGTTCAGAGCCACGCGGAGGGGTCAGGAGGAGCACTGAGTCCGGTGGGTGTCCCTGCCCACTGGGACATTTATTCGGTGCTCCTCTTTGTTGAAACCTAGGGGGACAGATGGTTGTTTTGCTGCGGGAGGCAGTTCCGCAGTGGGGCAGCCATGGGCGTGTTGGCCCAGGGTGGCTCCCCCTGCACCGCTCGGCTTGGCTTCAGTGATGCCACCTACACCCCGCCTGTGCTCACTGCTGGCACAGCCACTGCCCAATGTCAGGTCCCGCCTCTTCTCTGGCAAAGCTTTAGTCATTGTAAGACCATTCACTCACAGGGCTCTGGGGGTCAGGAATTCCACAGACAGCCCCTTCCCAGAAGCCTCCGGTGCTTGGAGCAGAGCATTGTCTCATCTTCCCTGCTCCGAACCCTCCAGCACTCCTCATTTTTCCCAGGTGCTCAGGGTCTCACCACTAAGCACACTCAATAAACATGATGAATCATCAACAGTGTTTAGGGCTTTGAATGCTTTATCTCCTCTTCCAAAAGCGGGTTATGCAACTTGTGCCCAGAACATCCCAAAGCAGACACACTAGAGTCATATGCCATCAGAGGCTGTCAAAGAGCGGACAACTCAAAACCACGTTTCTTCCACCAAAGACAGCTCCTTTGCTCAAGCTCGCCCTTGTATAATCATAACAGGATTTTGTTTGTTGAGCTGGGGTGAAGGGTGAACACTAGATCTTTTATATGTTTCCATGAAGGTTCCTCTACCCCAAGGTATCTCACCAGTTTTCTTGATTTTAGAAGTTGTCGCTTTTAAATTTTCTGTGCCAAAGGAATGCAGAAGTAGTACAGTGGGCTCAATTCCCCAATCACCTGTATTTGACTTTGGAAGAAATTTTGACACAGCACTTAAATATGAATGTGGTTGTCTCTCCCAGTGTGGGAGTCTACAGTGCTGAGCATGAAGGGAACTCAATCACCAGAGAAGGAACTACTCACTGGCTGGGGGCTGGGACATGTTCCTCTTTTGTTCCCAGATGCACTCTTCTCTCCAGCATTTTACTCCACGCAGTGCCCTGTGCTGGAAGGTGGCAATGGGCCATCTTCCCCTCTGTGTGTCCACTCCCTACCCTGTCACTCTGCAAGTCTTCCCATAGTGGGAAGGGGGCTGTTTAGCCATCCCTTGGATCTGAGCTGGCTTTGTGACCTGCTTTGACCCACAGAATGTGGCAGAAGTGACAGTGTGCCAGTTCAAGCCTAGGCCTCAGGAAGCCTGGCAGGTTTCTGCTTGTTCTCAGGCCTGACACCAGCATGAGAGCAAGCCCAGCTAGGCGGCTGGAAGGATTGGGGATGGGTGGAGAGCACACAGGCTGGCCCAGCCAACCAGCCAACTCATTGCAAACCGGTGGGCAAGCCAGGCCAGGCAGGACCAGGCCTGAAGAACCACCCAAGCTGACCCAACCCATAGAATTGGGAGCTAAATAAATGGTGGTTTTTGTTTTGTTTTCACACTGGAGTGCACTGGCCCAACCAAAGCTCACAGTAACCTCCAACTCCTGGGCTCAAGCATCCTCCTTCCTCAGCCTCCCGAGTAGCCGAGGACTGCAAGTGCACACTACCATGCCCAGCCAAGTTTTGTATTTTTTGTAGAGACGGGGTCTCACTCTGTTGCCCAGTTTGATCTCCAATTACTGTCCTCAATGATCCTCCTGCCCTGGCCTCCCAAAGCATTGGGAGGCATGAACCACTGTGCCTGGCCAATGGTGACTGTTTTAAGCCACTAAGTCTTGGGTGGTTTGTTACACTGAAAGAATCCCATTTTCCCCACCACATGGAAGTTCTGATCTATCACATTCACACTGCTCTTGATAAATTCATTCTTCCTTCTGGCAGCCGAGTGAAATGTGAGTAGGAAGCATGATACTCCATTTCCCTTTCACCAGGCTACATTTTAAGAAATTTTCTTGTGAAATCAACAGCATATATATCATCAAAGCAAATATGTTCTGTCCCTAGTCTGTGGTCCAGGGAACCAACAGTAAGGTACAAACCAATGGTTAACACCATACCATAAAGATTAGCAATTAAGTTGGATCATGCTTTTACAGTGAGCCCGATTTTAGCAAGCCATAAAAAGGATTTTATGGTCAAATATAAGTTTAATATAATCTCTTTATCATGTCCCCCAATAACTGTTCATTATTGCTTCAGTTCATTTGGTTTACACTTGTCACATACATCCCTATAATACACACACTTATATTTTCTATATATTTCTTAGCATTTCGTTGCCTTTGGATCAATACAGAATTAATAGGAATCAGTGCAGGAAAGAACATTATCTTTTTCTGAAAGTAGAGTCTTACATATTTATATAGCACCTTTGATTTAAGGAGCTCAAGGTACTTTAACATTCACTATAGCATCCTTCTGCCATCTCTGGGTAGGGAAACTATTATAAATTATCATTATTCCCCTTTTAGAGAAGGAAAAATAAAAACAAAGGCGAAGTGCTCAGTGAGATGATATCACAGCAGGAACTCGGGTTTTTATCTCAGCGTTCTACTTTGTGAACTGTAACTGCCATATATTCCAGAATTATTTTCAAAAGGTATAATGGTTTCCTCCATTTGTACAACATCTCTCTGGATGGATGTTAAGTAAAAGGGCCGGATAGACGGTAAATTCCCACCAACAGATCCTCCTGGCTATGGAGTTATTTCCTGCAGTTCTTTATGTTGGCTAAGGAGTCCCATAAATTCCAGAAACGTCCTTTGCTTCTCCATTGAAAATCCTAATCAAGCGCTACCACCCCAGCATTTCCAGCAGAAGGGAAAAACCAGTGATCCACGGTCATGCTCTTCAGCTGGGCATTTGTGGCCAATAAAGTCTGGGCAGTGACCATGATTAGTGCTTTTATAACCTACCAGATGTGCAAAAGTAATTTTAATTTGCTTGCGTATTTTTGCTTTTCTCCAGTATTTGTGGGGAACCAGCGCTCACTGGCTAACAAAAGATAAAACCACCCAGGGGATTTCCTTCCATCTGGAGCATCGTCTAGGTTTTTCACAAGAAGGATGAAGCCAAGAAAAAGGCACCTTTAGGAGAATAAGTTTTCTTAAATTCACGACATGTGGATTTGACTTTAAATTTAAATGCACTGGAACATGGAATGTTTTCCACTTCTACAAGGCTAGCCTATAGATGAACAATTATTTAGGAATCAAAGAGGATCCATTTATGCTATTCTTATCTAGACAAAGAAAATGCAAACTAAAATTTCAACTTTAGGCCGGGGGCAGTGGCTCATGCCTGTAACCCCAACACTGAGGTGGGTGGATCACAAAGTCAAGAGATGGAGACCATTCTGGCCAACATGGTGAAACCCTGTCTCTACTAAAAATACAAAAATTAGCTGGGCGTGGTGGCGCACATCTGTAGTCTCAGATACTTGGGAGGCTGAGGCAGGAGAATCGCCTGAACCCAGGAGGTGGAGGTTGCAGGGAGCCCAGATCCCACCACGGCACTCCAACCTGGGTGACAGAGCAAGACTCCGTCTGGAAGAAAAAAAAAAAAAAAGAATGCCAAGCTGTAGCAACTTGGAGTTTTAAAGATTTGGGGACTAAGTACCTGAGTGCTTCTTCCAGCATGGATGAGTTAACCACCTAGGGGAAGGTCACATAATGAGCTCGGTTCTGCTTAAGGACTGACACAAACTTAAAAACATTCAGGAGAAAAAAATAGGATTTTTCCCCCTTTCTCTTTCTTTTAGAAAGATGAGAATACAGAGCATTTTTCAGAAAATGAAAGTCCCACCACATGTTCCTAGCAACTATCTCCAGGCCTCACATGTTCGGCCTTTTCCCAAAAGTGCTTAGAATGAACACACACTGGGAAAGCCATCTCGGAAATGCTGTAAGAAGGGGCACAAAAGAAAATATGTAAAGGAGGCCAGCATGGGCGTTCACACCTGTAATCCCAATACTTTGGGAAGCTGAGTTTGGAGGACTGCTTTAGCTGGGGAGTTTGAGACTAGCTAGGGTAACATGGTGGAATCATGTCTCTATCGGCGAGCAGTGTGGAGGGATGGTAGGGGGGAAGCTGGGCATGGCATGCAGCTGTGGTTCCAGCTACTCGGGAGGTTGAGGTGGAAGGATCACTTGGATTGCTTGAGCCCAGGAGTTAGAGGCTGCACTGAGCTATAATCTCACCACTGCCCTCCAGCCTGGGCCAGAACCAGGTGCCAAAAAGATAAAAAGAGAGCGAGAGAGACAGAGAGAGATCAAAGAAAGAGACCCTCACCTTTAGGAGAATTTTTGAGAAAACTTTTAAATAAAAAAAGAGGGGGGCAGGTATCAAGAAATTAGCTGGGTGTGGTGGCACACACCTGTAGTTCCAGCTACTCGGAGGCTGAGGCAGGAAAATCGCTTGAACTCGGGAGGCGGCGGCTGCAATGCCCCAGATCACACTACTGCACTCCAGCCTGGCGACAGAGCGAGGCTGTGTCACCAGGAATACAAATATGGGGCACACACACAGAACAGGAGTCATAAAAACAGCTGTCATAAGGCCACAAATTACTGCTGCGAGTTTGAGGGGTGGCAGGGGAGGCATCTGCCCCCGTGTGGGGGTCTGCTGAGCAGCCGTGGGCATAGGGGAAGACCTGATCAATTCACTTTCTGAAAAGCCCATTTCCTGGAGGACGAGGTGGGCGGAGAATGCCGGGTGGTCTTCCTCGACTGTACCGATCGATCCCGGGGTGGCCCGGGCTGGGGCGGAGGCCGCAGTGCTGCCCTTCGCGAGCTGCGGGGTCGGGCAGGCCGGGCCAGGCTCGGCTCAGGTGCGGCCGCGCGGTCCAGGTCGGCGACCCTGGCTCCAGGCTTCGGGCTCCCGGCCATGTGGGGGCGCTAGGCCGGGGCCCCGCCCTGCTCCTGCACCGGCCGCGAGGCCTTCTCCGGCTCCTGCAGCCCCGTGGGGCCGCCGCACAGGTCCGGGAAGCGCGGGCCGTTCCCCGCGAAGGAGTCGCGGCGCGCCAGGGTCTCCTCCTGGACTGGGCGGCCCACGGGCTCCGCCGCCGCCGCCGCCGCCGCGCCCTCCTGTGAGGTCTGGCTGACATAGACCACGATGATGTCGCCCTTGAAGTTCATCACCTGCCCGCTGGAGATGAACGTGGAGTTACTGTTTCCAGTCACGTTTCCTGCGGGGAGAGGAAGGGAGAACACGGGGAGGGTGAGCCAGCGCCCGGGGCCTGCCAGGTCTCCCGGGAGGAAGGTTCCGGGGTGGAGGGCGGCTCCCCGGCTTCCCGCAGCCCCGGGCCACAGGGAACCTTCGGCACACTCCAGGCCCACTGAGGCAGAGGAGGGTGGGGAGGAGAAAAGAGGAGGAGCAGAGAAAAAAGACAAAAAGAGAAGGGGGGGAGGGGAAGAGAGGGGGCAAAGGAATGGGAGGAGGAAGGGGGAAGGGGGAGAGGAAGAGTAGGGGGAGAGGAAAGAAAGAGGAGAGGAAGGAGTGGGAAGAGGAAGAGGAGGAGGGGAGGAAGAGGAGAAGGGGAAGAGGAAAAGAGGAAGAGGGAAGAGGAAGAATAGGAGAGGAAGAGGAGGAGGAGGAGGGGAGGAAGAAGAAGAGGAAGAGGAAAAGGAAGAGGAGGAAGGGAAGAGGAGGAAGGGGAGGAAGAGGAGGAAGGGGAGGAAGAGGAGGAGAGACAGAAGAGAAGAGGAGGAAGAGAAGAGGAAGGGAGGAAGAGGAGGAGGAGAGGGGAGGAGGAAAGAGAGGGGAGGAAGACAAGGAGGGGAAGAAAAAGAGAAGGAGGAGGGGAGGGAGAGGAGGAGGAGGGGAGAGGAAGAGACGAGAAATGAGGAAGCTTAGGGGTAGACTCATGCTTTACTATTTGCCTGTGACTTGGGATCCTAGCATACTGGCAAGAGATCACATCAGGATTATAAAATCACAGAGATTCAGATGTTACAAAATGTGTGTGTGTGTTCAACACACAACAAGCACAGCTAAGGGAGCAGAGCCCAGTCTGCTCTCCTCTCTGGACTCACATCTGAGGCCCCCGTCACCCTGGGTGCCTTGGTTCCTCATGGTCTCTAACAGCTCAGCCCTGGAGGATCATGGGGCCACGTGGGCTCAGCTTTCAGCAGAGAGTAACACAGTTCCTTAACATTAAAAGAAAACTACTTCTGGAAACAACAGAGATTCACAAAACTAAAATAGAAAAAAACCCAAAATCCTATAAATCACTCTTCCCATCTGAACTCTGAAGAGTGTTTTGTCCCTAGGGGCTTCTATGGTCATTTCTTTATGGGTGACTAGATGTGGCCAGTCTTTAAGTAACCGACCTTTTGAAAAACAAAGTCCAACAGATGTTAGGAAACCTGCTAGATCTTATGATTCTTCCATTTTAAAGACAGAAATTTCCTAGACTTTGGTCTAGGAAACTGCCACAAACCAAGCAGATTAGAAACGCCCCAACATTCAGCATCACAAACAGAATCCTTCAACTTGATCAGGGGCAGGAATGTCAAAATGGCTCCTCACGATTCACCACCTTTATTTTTTTCTTCTCCATTGTGACTCAGCTTAGTAATAATTCATACGAACAAAATGAAGTTTCTGTTACCATCCCACATGAGATTTTCCTCAAAGATGGAAGGCATGTTTTGGACGATCTGACTAAAATACTGATAGGCATATAGGAAATTCCTTTGAGGAGCCTTCCCCCGACCCACTGGGTACCTCTAGAGAAGCCAAGACCAAAATACAAAGAAAAGCCCATGAAAACACAAGAATCTCAAGCATGAGCGACAAATCCAAAGTCATGAAGAAGGTCTGCGTCTCATGATTTTTCTCCCACAGGCAGTTGTATGGGATGTCCTCCAAGGCGGGCAGTGGAAGGACTTACTTGCCTGAGAACCCCCAATCAGCATGAGGGAGGCCCACTGGCATTTCTGTTTACCACCCACCCAGCACACTCTCCACCCACTCTACACACACTGCCCGGCATGCAGCGCACTCCAGCGAGGGTCTGCTCTCACCACTTACCAAGTTCCTTCTCAAGTCCGTTATCACCAGATAAACCCATCAGGAAGTGTAATCAAATATTAGGTAAAGCAGTGAAATATTACAGTGAAAAAATGAAAAACGTTTCCATGAAAACTAAAGTGAATGTTTTGCAAGGACCCTAATAAAGGTGAGTCACTAAAAAAACAAAACAACCCACAACATACAAACAAAATGAAACCACCGCCACAAACTGTTAAACTGGTCTGGGGTGTGGGCAAGGAATCTATGAAAAAAGAAAGAAAAAGAAAGGACTTCTGGTTTCAAAATGGCGGCACAGAAGCAAGCTGGTCTCACTCCCCCACAGAAAACTTAAAGCTAATATACAGTTCGTTCTGACACTATCATTCAGAATACTCTAGAACACAAACATGATAATAAGACAGTTCCCAGCGCCACAGAGAAGTGAGAAAGGACGAAAAAGAACAGGAAAAGGAAATAGTAAAAGTCCAGAAGAATTTTGCTCTCCAATATCTGTAACTTCTCATTTCACATTGAAGAAATAGAAACTGGAAATCAAGGTGGTGTGGTTAATGTAAAAAGGGCTCAGGAGGCCAGGCATGGTGGCGCACGCCTGTAATCCCAGCACTTTGGGAGACCAAGGCAGGTGGATCACCTGAGGTCAAGATTCAAGACCAGCCTGGCCAACATGGCAAAACCCAATCTCTACTAAACATACAAAAATTAGCTGGGCATAGTGGCAGGTGCCTGTAATCCCAGCTACTCAGGAGGCTGAGGTAGGAGAATCCCTGGAACCCGGGAGGTGGAGGTTGCAGTGAGCCGAGATTGTGCCCCGCTACACTCCAGCCTGGGCAAAAAGAGGAAGACTCCATCTCAGGGAAAAAAAAAGCGGGGGTGGGGAGCTCAGGAAACTATAATCAGCCAGTACACACAGACTTATACTAAAAAATAATCAGTGTGTAAATATAAAGTATATGTTTTAAGTAAATTATTTAAATGGGTTTCTACCATAGCAGCAACAGAACAAGTAGGCACAGCAACACAGTTAAGTCCTCCCATTTGAGAAATCACTACTTAGTTAACAGAAAAAGAGTGAAAAATAAAACATACATGGAATGGGACATTCAGTTTAAAAAAATGTACATACCATGAAAATTCTAGTCTGATTAAAAAAATACCATGTTTATTGGATAAAATAAGTAATTCAAGTTGCTTAGACATATGATTATTCTTGACATAGTTTCCTCTACTTTCAGTATACACCAAGACACAAACAGCTACATCTCTGAAGAGGATAAAGAGACGAGGTTAAATGCAAAACCATCCATCATGAGGTCTTATCACAACATCGCTGTCTGCTGGTTCTGTTGTTCTTCAGCATAATGTAAAACGACACTGGGGACCTCTCTAGCCACTGCATGGCTGATTTATGGTTCTGAATCTGATCTTATCTCCTCTTTATCCACCTCACTGATTTATCTGCTTATGTCATGGTATATACTATTTCTCTACCATTTTAAATTTTATTTTTTAACAAATCATCACGAATCCATTGTTGTTTACTTCTTTCTTGTCAGAACCTTTTGTGAGTCTGAACCTAGATAAAACTTACGCGTTTTGGCACTGTCTTACACATCAAGGACCAGTGTCAAGTCTTTCATCTTGAGAATTTCATTCCATGCCATTGCTCCATGGCCAACAATATCTCTGATACTGATAACCTAAATATTCTATGGACCTATATTCATTTTTGTTTTCTTTTTTCTAACCCTGCAGAAAAATGTTTCCTTTTTTCAAATGGACCTCAAACCCTTTTGCCTAAGTAAAATATTTAAATATTTCAGAATCCTTTGTTTCATGGACTGAACCATGAATATTATTCTTAGGGTGCTGCTGACTGTGGTGGCTCAAGCCTGTAGTCACAGCTACTTGGGAGGCTGAGGTGGGAGGATCACCTGAGCCCAGAGATGCTGAGGCTCCAGTGAGCCATGATCACACCTCCAGCCTGGGTGACAGAGTGACCCCTGTCTCAAAGAAAAGAAAAAGAAAAAGAAAAAGAAAAAATATATTATTTTTGGAAGGCTATGAGGCTTGTGAAAGGGCAAAAACTAGGCCTTTAAATTCCGGACCATTAAGATGTAAAAGACAGTTACCTAGAAAGATTTAGGAGATTCTCAAAGAGGTTTATTCTTCAAGTGTTTCTTTAACAAAGTTACAATTAATGACAAAAACAACCTTTGGTCAAGTCCCTTCATGCTGATTCTTGTGTGATACAGTAAACTGATAGAGACTGAACTTTTTAAAAAAGTTATACTGATCTGCCAATCACAAGTGGCAATTCTTAAGTGGCAGCAGAGTGGTGTCCATGGGCCCGTGCAGCTGCGCAAGGCCTTATGCTCTCAAGAGCTCCATGCTGGGCTAAATGCTTTGCTGCCATCATGAAATTCTCATTCATTTTTGCAAAAGGGGAAAATTTTTCATTTCCCACTGGGCTATGCCAGTTATGTCACCAGTCCTGAAGGGTGGGCACCTCTTAGGAGCATTACTCTGGGAATTTTCCCCACTGATGCTCTAATCTAGCACCACCATTTACGGAAGTAACATCTTATAAGTTGGACCTTTTTCAATATTACAGAAGTGTTAGCTAATCAGACTTTCTCTACTAACGAACTAAATATTCAGAAAAACTGAGTTGTAGAAGCTATTCACTGATGCTTCTAAAATAGTGATCCTGTGATGCATTTTCCTGATGTTTGAGCCACCCACCACTCGCTGTAACAACACCAACTTTCTGATGTGAAACTGGGGCCTGTCCTTTGAGACTGGGTTTACTGATTGCACCAACTGTATTGTTAATGCTTTACATACAATTTCTAGCTTTGGGTTCTTTAACGTGGAATGAAAACTAAAAGTCACTTGCCAAGCAGTCTAAGTGTAGGATCCTTCTAGGGTTTTCTTCCTTCCACCTATCACAGGTGTCTCATTCACCTCAATTTCAATACCAAAAAGGTTTTAGCAATTCATTCCTTGAATCATCCCAAAGTATTCAATAGTTTTCATAGAAATAATGATTATCAAACTCATGTTTTTCTTGCCAGTTAACATAATAGCTAATGTTTTAAATGACAAGATCCGCTCACAGTCACAGAATCGGGAGCACCCATGGACTTTGGA